GGAGGGGAAGGCGGCGGGCAGGTCAGTCCGGAGGGGGAGGCGGCGGGCAGGTCAGTCCGGAGGGGGAGGCGGTGGGCAGGTCAGTCCGGAGGGGAAGGCGGCAGGCTGCCACAAACAGGCCCTGACAGCCAGGCGGGCGTGTAGGCGCAGGGGGATGCTGCCGGGGATGGGGAAGAGCAGCAGTTACGCAGCACTGCCGGCCCTCATGAGGCCCCCTGCATGGCATGAGGCCCCCAGCTGGCTTTTGACTGGGTTACTCATCATCCCAGATGCTTGGCGTTCGCTGTCGCCAGAGTGACCCCATTAAGCCTCCCACCGGGCTCTGCCTCGCCCCCCTAATGGGTGAGTATAATTACTGCGAGGCCCATCTACTTACACGGTGCTGCTTGGCGCAGCAATAAATAAATAAACCACCCGCTGATGTTTGAAGGAATTTCACCAGGGTTGCTAATTGAAAGCGATCAGCGGAACGCGTTAATATTTGAGCAGCAGAAGTTAATTAAATTATAAGTCAGGCTTAAAAAGCACGAGCATGTGTGTTGTGGGAAATTAAATGATGAATCACCCCAGATTTGGCCCTCACGCCGACCTGGAGATGGCCGGCTGTAGGACTCATGGCTCCATGAAGACCTTATCTACCTCAACCACGCCATGTAACTTTACAAAGTCTGCAGTGAGGGAATGGGGACAGGTTTGTTTTTCATAAACGAATTCAAAGGCTAAGCGAGTCCTGAATCAGGGCCCCCTGACCTCAGTGACACTCCCAGACACACAGTGTTTTCAAATTAACACTTCACTCTTGTAGAAAGGACAAAGTAATTATAGTAAAATCAAATTAATTAATATTCAAGTGACTTATGCAGAGAACCTGCACAGTTTTTTGTGGGGGAAGTATTTAAGGTTATATATATATATAAGGGATATAAATGAACAATCGCTCCAGGTAAGAGCCCGTTTCATTAATTCACTTTTACGTAGCTTAGCCTCTGACCACTGCGCTCCCTCAAGGCGTTACTTCAGAAAATAATTACATATTTGATGAAAACTCTTTTGTCATATTTTAAAATATTCTAATGTTCTTGTGCAGGACACAGAGCTTGGCTGGGAGGTGAATTTAACCTCTTGCTGGACACAGACGGGTATGCATGGCATGCTGGGAAAGCAAGTGCGTTTGCAGCGCTGGCTGTGTTACGGATGGCGCGTCAGCAGTGAGCATCGACTCCGTGTCCCTGAGGGTGAACAAGTTCTGTCTCCCTGCAGCATAATCAACAGAACTTTCCGAAGACTAAATGACCTGCTAACCAGCCACCCTGGTAGGGGACCAATATGGGAACAACTGAAGCACAGTAGTGGGTGTCGAACCTCACAAGCTCCACCCACAACCTAAGCTGCACTCACAAATATCACAACATCAACAGGCACCAGTGCTTCTGCACTTTGGCTCACAGGTTTGATGTTACTTTCTCGTAAGTAATAAAAGGACCTGCCACACGTTTTCCTCAGGTGACCCAACTCCTGACGTCCTAGACGACTCTTTCTAAATAAATATATGGCAAAAGTAACCATGACACCTGAAACACCTGAACTTTATATAGCCATGATTAAGTGCCATTCAAATTCACAAGGAGACAGCAGAGGACGGCGGTCGTCTGGCCTGCTCTGATGTGGGTTACAGCGAGGGCTGAATACGCCTGAGACACGATTTCAGAGAGGCTTTCAGACAGGGAACAAAGTTTTGTCCAAGCTTTTCTATTCACACTGTCCGGGAAAGTCAGGTTCAGGTTTGAGCCCTGATATATTCATGTTAATATTAAAAAAACAACAGAGAAAGATCAGGATGACCACTACCAACACACATGAAGTATAACTTTTAAAAGCTTAAATAACTTTTAAAAGCTTCCATTTCAGCTGTGCTGATTAAAGAATGGTGAGATACTGCAGCCACAATGGCAGCATCATTAATTCATCGCAAACAGAGGGTTTGGGTGTGTCACTTTGAAAAATGTTCAAAACGGCCAGCCTGTAATAAGATCACTAAGAGGAATTCTGCCTCATTAAGATTTCATCAGAAAATTCTCTTTCATATGAAGCACCCAATATAGGCTGTCAGAATCAATCAAGTCTGGAGGAGGACAAAGCCGAAGCAGACAAGAAGCACGGCGACCAAGCAGCCGGGCTCTCCTGTCAGGACAGCTGAAGATACAGCTGTCCTGGCACCACCATGAGTCAGGAGCTTTATGGCCTGTGGTGGGCGCTCCGAGGCAAGGCTGGCTTTGGGACAGTGCCTCGCCACGCATGCCCTCAGGTCTGAACCTACAGGTCAACGTTCACTGTGGGCTTCATTTCACTGACTGACAGACAGACAGAGTGTCTGTTTGACTGACTCTCACTCACTCACTCACTCACACACTCACTCACTCACTCACAGAATAAACAAACCAGAGCATTTAGGAGCGTTCAAACTCAACTGTCGGTGTTGTAAACCAAAATGCAGAATACTGAAATGGCAAGAGCATCACTTCCCAAGGCCCTCAGGTGTCCTCCTTAGTGGAGTCTGTTCTCCCGGAGGGAGGGTTTCTAGCTTTTCACACAAGGAAAGGGGACGAAAGGTGTCTGGGGGGAATGTCATAGTACCTCCTCAGGTGATCTGGGTTTCCAGAACATACCAAAATGCATCACTAAGAGGACAACACAGCCAGAAGTGGACCCTACAAGTCCAAGCGGTTTGGTCAGCTTGCCCCGGGAGGGAGTGTTAGGTGATGACCGGATGCCAAAAGCCCCGGGAATGAAGGAACCTGAACCAGACTCACCTGACCTATGATCAACGGAAACTCACCTGACCTACGATCAGTGGAACCACCACGGTCATGAAGAGCTGGGAGAAGATGGAGGAGAATGGCACCGAAGAAGAGGAGCCCAGCTGAAACAGAGACACCGGGTCACACAGCACCTTCTGGAAGGAGTGGAATATACAGGGCAGGCTCACAAAGATACAGGAAGATTGCTGGGAGCCTGGCATAGGGAGATGCTGAGCATACTGCCCGGGAGGGTGCGGTCCATTAGGATGCAGTAACACAACTATTGACCTGTATGTACATGTAAAATCCTGCTCCCAGATCTCAGGGTTTTTTTTTTTTATATGAGTGTTTTAGTCCTCCGCCAGAACTGGACCAGAACCCGTCTGGGCAATGGTACACCATTAACAACCCTCGGAGGCAGATGAACATGCTGTGGGAATCACAGCATAATGCATAAAGACAGCTGGCCTTGGGAGAAGTGAGAAGGACATTAACTCTGAACGGAGACAAAAGAGCAAAGCAAGGGAAGATCATTTATATTTACACTGCACATCCATCAGAACACGAACGGTGCTTATTAAGGAAATATTTTCAGGAACGAGTAAGTCAGGAATTACAATAGGGCTTCATTGCAGCTGGAGGTGAGGGATTACGAATGATGCCTTCAGCTGATGCAGGGTGCTTCTTTGGCAGAATGAGCTGCTACCAATACGGGAAATTGTTAAAGAGTGCTGGGAAAGCTATGGAGGAGGCATACTTACAAATATGAGGAGCAACACAGGAGTGACCACTATGCCCTGAAAATAAGAGAAAAAGAGATGAAGCCCTGCACTGTGCATTCCCCAGATTAAATGCAATTCAGTTTCATTTCTGCCCTGCACTGTGCATTCCCCAGATTAAATGCAATTCAGTTTCATTTCTGCCCTGCACTGTGCATTCCCCCATCACATGCACAGATAATTTCTAGAATCCTGCACACTATAACAAGACTGCTAAAGTACTGCATTTGAGTCCAGCACTATATCCAGTCAAGTAAGTTTTGATGATATTGCCGGGTTTAATACTATAGATCAAATATATTTAAGTTTAACTAGCAAATCCCAAATTAAAATATGGTTATACAGTAGCTAAATACGCGGTAAATCAGATATACTAAATGTAAGCTAGGTAACACCATTTCATTGACAATTTAACTGTTGAGACCCAATTGCCACACAATGCACTGATTGAGTTTAAAAACAATAACTCACAAACCCGTCGAACGCCAAACATGACGGCACTAACAGTAATATCATTGTGTAACCAAGTGCTTGTGAGTAATTATGTATGCATAATAACAGCCCAATAGAAGCATCTGCATCAAAACACACTGCTTGTAAGTCATATTATGCTTGCTGAAATGGTCCGACTGAGCTCATTTATTACAGACAAAACACCTGTTATAGTCTATTAATAACAACAAAATTCAGCATTCTATTTATTAGGAAGTCATGTGCTTCATATTTCTGCAATATTCATTCACAAAAGTTTACATATGCCTGTTAGATGTCGAGCTCCTTCAAAACGGAATATTTCCAAAATTCCCCAACTTAATTTCCCATGGGAAGTTTCCAGAAATTTTCCGCCCCTTTGCAACCCTGGTCCTCATGTGGAAAACAGGATGGTTTTACACTAGTTTATACAAGGCATCCAAACCAAGTAGCACACCTAGAAAGGTGTACAGGGAAAAGAACTGCTGGAAACATTACTAGCTTTCTGACAAGCTCCTCATGTCAAATTAACCTGAAACAATAATACAGTCACTCTCGAATACATTACTGTCATGTAAACGCTCAAGCGGCTTGAGGGAGCCCCCTGGAGAGCTGGCGGAGGACACAACACTTCAAACCGTGTCACTTTCGGAGACCTCAACAAACTCCGAGAGTCGTCGCCATTCACAATTAATGAGACGTCCGACTCACGTAAACAAAAGGAAGCAAGTTGGGCAGTTAACCCTGTGTAACACCTTTCTGCCACTTTACAGGAAACGGCCCCTACATCTAGCAAGTCTGTGACATCAGTTACTATGTGATGAGGTTAATAACAACAGTTAAACTCTCACTAAGCATAAAGACGGGGGGGAGAGAATTATGACGAGTTATGCATATCCGAAGTTTGGTGGTTCTGCATTGTATTTTTGTAGTTCAAACCATGTGCAGCCTTTTTACGTTAACCATACTGATGCATAAGGTGCATTATAGGCTGGGTCCAGATTAACCTACGGTTCGGTCCAGACTTTGAGAACCCCCTGATATTAAGTCGAGTTAAGACAATTCAGAATGAGAACATATGCTGAATCAAAGCCTTTCTTGGTCGTACCTTTGCTAATCCATCCCTTCTGACCATTATCATAGATGCCTCCTTCCAGCTATATTTGTGGAGTGTGTCCATGGTTTGGAAAGCATTGCCACAACAGATGTTAACACAAACACTTAGCCATCTGAAAAGTCAGTCTGGGAAGCCATGCAACACCTATGAATGGGGGGCAGTGTGCGGCTCGGTGAGTTAGGCCACTGTGCCAGTGATCCGAAGGTTGCTGGTTCAAATCCCAGAGCTGAGCGTATTTACTGTTGGGCCGTTGAGCAAAGCCTGATTACTCCAGGGACTGACTAACTGTGTTTTCTGAAAAATGTATGCTGCTTTGGATAAAAGTGCCTACTAAATTAAAGTTAAAATGTCTAAGGTTTCACAAGCAGTTTATCAATGGCTTTGTTACAATACAACAGCCATACATCTCCTATAATCCCAATGCTAAAACTACTCCACATTTTGCAGGTAGTCGAGGTGGCCTGACTGAGGGTCTTTCGGTTTATTCTTGAGTGATATTATGTTTGAGGTTTGAAAACTGACAGCTTGAGGGAGAGGAGGCATGATCAGTCCAGACTGTCACAACAGGCAGGGAGTGGAGTGACGGCGAGGGAGTCTTTCCTTTAATGTCTTTAAACAGGACTTTCTCCTTTAAATAACTACTCCTCTTCAACATATACTGAAACTGATTTAAAAGGCAAATTAGCATATGGCAAATGATGAAAGCAATTGTGATTTCATATAACGTCAAAAAAATCCTGCCATTGTTTAACTATATTCAGTTTAAATATTGAATTGCTCTGTGTGGAAATGTGTCATCCTGCATGCAGATTAGCGAGTGTAAATGACAAACAGCTTTTAAGATATCCAGTAGATGGCGCACTCTTCTTAAAAAGATTAATAAAACAAACGCTAGTTTTACGGTAAAAAAAAATGAACGCACATTTAAAAAAATGAGACAGACCCCCATTTGTGATTATTGGAAAATAAATCTCAACCTAAAGAAAGTTAACAGGTGAGCCATTAATAACTAGTTCTTTGAGTTTTTTTAACTAATAAATAGAAAAAGGTTTTAAAAAAATTAAGTGGATGGTAAATGGATGTCCATTTGAGGCTCTGTCATCATCACTGCAAATTAAGCGCAATTAAGATACTGAATATCACAGCCCTAATGAGCGGAGTGCTCTCTAACAGAGCTTCAACATTTCCCCTTCCCATGACAGAAACACTACCTCACCACTGGATGGCGCTTGTGTAATTCAATTTTAACCCATGTAAACCTTCTTATTTACATAAACATCTCCAAATAAATACTGAAAAGTTTCAATCTTACTTTCTTTTGTCACTGTAAAGAATATACAGTGCTGGATAATAGGGAATGAAACTGCATCTCATTAAAAAGCACTTATGTATAGCTAATTGATTTAAAGCCAATAATGGGGGTCAGGTCTATTACAACCTGGGTACACACCCATTGCTAAAATAATTAAAATGCTTCTTTAATATTTAACAGTTATGTTTACCCAATTCCTTTACAATTTCATCATGCCAATAACCTTAATTGACCAGACAGCGTAATAAGACACAATTAAAACAGGGTCTTTCATTGCACGTTAATTTAGGACCAACACCTCTAATGGGCAGCTGCAGTATTTCCAGCCAATTAAAGGAAAGCAGAGGTGCATTGGTGCAGTGCAAAAACATACCCAGCGCTGCAGACATTCACAGTCCTGCATTGTCACTTCCAAAATAAAAAGATGAAAAATCCCACACTTCTGAGACCAGCTGAGGAGAGAGTCTGACAGCACCATGCGGCTCAAATTTGGTGAGCTGTGGGGAAGAGTGATTCAGGCTGCAGTCATGAGGGGAAACCAAATGTCCGTGTAGGTCTGTGTAAGAAAGATAACCAGAAAAATAACACGCAACACAAAACAATGCCAATAACTAAAACTGAGAACGATGTCTTGACGTTAGCTAACAGCTACTACACATGGTCAGAAATTCTTCCAGGTGACCTCATGGGGGGTGGGGGGGCAGGAGCCAATAAGGCAAAAGTGAGAGGGAGGAATAAACCAGGCCCTGTGCTGCCTGGGCACCTCCATGGCTAATCACTAGCCACCAGATCTGACGACGACCATCCTGACCAGCTGAGATGACCTCCCACCATCTCTGCCCTTCTGAGCTTAAAATCACCATCTGGATTAAGACCCTCAAGCAGAGCCTGAAGGCACTCCCCCCTTGGTAATAAACACTCCCCTCCACCTTTCAGCCCCCGCCATGGAACACAGGGGCAGCTACAGGCCAAACACAGGCCTGAAAAAACATTCATCATTGTTCATTTATCATTATCTCACAGAAAACAGCTGAAATACCAACAATACAGATAAAACCTTATAAATTAGTGAAGTGTACTTCCATTTCAAAGAAACCTTTACTAAAACATCTTCTTGTATGTAAATGGATTGTTGTACAATGATACTCAACACTGCCTTAGATTAGAAGTGCCAGCCAGCTCATCCATGGTGTCAGCAAACAGGGCAACAACTGTCTATAATGTAAGTAAAAACACAGCACACCCACATAGGAAATGACATCAGCAATGACAACATCCCAGTGAGACACCTGGATGAAGACAAATGGCCAAATCACCTCTATCACAAGGTCATGAAGACACCAGTTATCAGAGGAGGCCCAGAACACACTCTGGAAAACGGGTCTGCCAGAGGAAGATGGTGCCACACAAACGAGGATGAACAGGGAGAAATCAACACTTCAAGTGAAAGCAGAGCTCCGGGCGAGCTGCAGGGGGAGCCGTCAGCAAGCGGGGACTTGGCAGGCGAGCACGGCTTCCGCTGACAGCCAAAACGGCCATCTAACGGCAGCAGGATATGCCCCATGAGCCGCTTCCCTCCACAGCTTGGTTTCCCATTTTCAGCGTTTAGGAGCCTGTTCTCTACGCGGCAGAGTCTGTTCATGTGACAGGATAATTAGTACCAAGATTTACCAGGTTTTACCCACAGGGAATGCAGACTCCAAAGAAGGCCTGTCTTTAAATGAGCCTTAAAATTGCGACTTACACAATCTGAAAAAACAAGACAAATAACTGATGTTACTTTGTGAGTGCTTGTCATGTGTGTAATACTGGTTACAATTCTTAAAAAAAGTCCGTGGAGTTCAGGTGCAATGGTTCAGTTACTGGTAACCACACGTGATAAAAAACAGAGGCAGGCCTGCTGATGTCACTGACCCTGCACACTGATACTATAACACTGAACACAGATGACAGCAGGGGCACTCATCTGAACTGGTATAAACAGTAGGGGGTCAGTGAACCCGCCCCCACCACCCGGCATTCAGATGAACACAGAACAAACCTGTAGTAAATGTGGCTGCCCCTCATTTTCCAAGCACGCACACACGCACACACACACACACACACACACACACACAC